GGGGTCCCCTGGGCTGGGCAGGTGGGAGATCTAGGAGATCCGGGCTCGGCACAGCATCGTCGCCTGGAGGGTTTCTTGGTTGGAGGTGGAAGCAGCCGTGTCACTTCCTCCAGGCAGAGCTCTGCTGCTCCTCCAAGCAAGGGCTCGTTGCAGCGAGAAGGGTCGGGCTTTCAGGTCCTTTTTCTTTCGGTTGGAGAGGTCTGTGTGTGCCTCGGTTTCTGCTGGGTATAAAACAGGAGGAGGAGAGTGCTGCTTTCTGGCGATGAAGGCTCTTCCGTGCCTGCGATTACCCTTCTGCAACAAAGAAAACTCCACGTGGTCTTCCAGGAGAATGATCTCTCTTTTTCAGGCTCTTTGGAGGTTTGATCTCGGACGTGAAGAGGAAAGCACCGTGGTTCTGGAGCGACTTTCGGGACGGGCTGAGACTGCAGTGCCTGGCATGCTTCCTCTTCCTCTACTGTGCCTGCATGTCCCCGGTCATCACCTTCGGGGGGCTGCTGGGGGAGGCGACCGACGGCCACATCGTGAGCCCCTCTCTCTGCTGGGTGCCGGCAGGGAGGGATAAAACTCCTGCAGACGTCCTCGCTGCAGTGAATTGGCTTTGGGGCTTTTTCCCTAAGGATTTCTTTACTTGCCGCCACCTCTCTTCCCCGGACAGAGTGCCATGGAGTCGCTGCTGGGTGCTTCCATGACCGGCGTGGTGTATTCCCTCTTCGCTGGCCAACCCCTCACCATCCTCGGCAGCACTGGCCCTGTCCTCGTGTTCGAGAAGATCCTCTACAAGTTCTGCAAGTAAGGCTGGCGGGCACGGCCGGGTGCCATGTGAGGAGAAACCACGAGGGTGTGGGTGCCCAAGGTGGGAGAGGAGACAAATCCCTCTGGGCTGGGAATGAGGGAGGATTTGCTTTCCTCCGAGTACAAAACCAGGCACTTTTTAGCCTGATTTTTGCTGCAAGTGGAAATAAGCTTTGCCCAAATACCCAAATAGTTTTCTGCTGAAATATTTTGAGGTTTGATGAAAAAAGTAGCTGCCATTCATGTGAAATGGAGATTTTCCATGATGGTCCTTTTGTTGCGATGACTTTGATGTGTGATGAACCACCCTGATTGTAATTAGATTTATTGTTAAGCCCCCACTTGCTGGCGGCAGCTGACTGGACGCAAAAGCAGCCGGAGGACCTGACATCCGTTGGCCTCCAAGGCATTAACACAAGATGATGCTTCAATTTCTCCTAGTTTTCCCAGAGGAAGGCAGGGCTCAGAGCCTCTCGCTGCCCGTCCCACCCTTCGTTCTGGTTTGCTTTCCCAGGGACTACTCGCTCTCCTATCTCTCTCTGCGGACGTGCATCGGGCTGTGGACCGCCTTCTTCTGTGTGGTGCTGGTGGCCACCGACGCCAGCTGCTTGGTGTGCTACATCACCCGCTTCACCGAAGAAGCCTTCGCCTCCCTCATCTGCCTCATCTTCATCTACGAGGCTCTCGAGAAGCTGGGTCACCTGCGCGAGACCTACCCCGTGCACATGCACAGCCAGCTCGACCTCCTCACCGTCTACTAGTGGGTTTCTCCTTTCTCACCACTCACTAGTGGGGCTTTTCCTGCCCCTCGGCAGGAGCTCAGGGCTGCCCCTCCATCACCTTTCCCTCACCCCCGTCTCGACTTCTCTCCTCCCAGCTGTAAGTGCGAGGCGCCGGCCAGACCCAGCAACGAAACCGCGCGTTTCTGGGAGAGCAACGGGATTAATGTGTCTGGCATCACCTGGGAAAACCTCACGGTGACCGTAAGTGCCCCGAGCCACCGCTTCCTCATGCCACAGCCAGGGGGTGTTCATGTGGTGCCAGAGTCGGAGCCTGTCAGGTGACGATGGGCTTCCAGCCGTGCTGGTGCTGCTCTGGACAGGTTTTGCTTAAACCCGACGGGTGGGTTTAACTCTCTTGGTCCTGGGAAGGAGAGACCACCTTGTCCAGTCTAGTCCACCTGGTCCCCAACATCGTGGATGTTGAGTGTCCTCCTCAAGCCCCTGGCAGGACAATATTTCTGACCAGGTGATGACTAAGGGGGTGCTTTGATTATTGTAGAAGTTGGAGGATTTCAGGTCATACCTGAAGGTAGTAATTGGTTCCCAAGGACTCTGGGCCTTGCTTTCTCACTCAGTGCTCTCTGTAGGTCCCTGCATAAATCTGCATGTCTGAGCAGCTTCTCGGGTTGTGTTGCTGGAGGCAGAGCCCTGGCGTAGGACAGGGGCTCTCAATATGGGGCTCTCATGGACGTCTTCAGCCCCTCTTGGCCACGTTCTGCAAGGTCTCCACCGGGAAGGGACGATTTGTCTCTTCTCCTTTCCTACCATGGTTGTCTCCGGCCTCCTTCCTTGCTCCCTCTTCCTCTCTCCCCAAGAGTTCCCAGTGTTTCCTTCCCCTCTGGTATCTCCTTCTGCCACGGTTCCCTGCCCGTTTGGGCGGGAGATGTGCCATGGGCCTGTGCTACGCTGGCCCGTCGCATCCCATCTCTCCCCTCTCCTCTGGGTGATTTGTGTGTCACTTGTTCAGCTGCTGGTGACGTTGGAATCTGCAGTGGCAGGAGCAGTCCCAAGGTTGTGGATCTTGGGCCAAGATCCTCCAATCCCCCGAGTTCCCCGTGGTTTCCTTGCTGCATGTTTGCTGCCTTTGTGTCCTGACCCTCTGTTTCTCCAGGAA